AAGAGGAAACGAATGCAGCACGCAAGGCCAAACAGGCCGCTGACAAGGCTGCCAAGGAAGCTCGCATGAAGATCGAACCGAAGGATTTGTTTCGGTTGTCGGAAGAGTACAAGGGCAAATATTCCAAATTCGACGAAAAGACTGGCCTACCAACCCACGATGCAGAAGGAACTGCACTCACAAAATCAGCAACCAAGAAATTGGCAAAGGAACAAAAGAAGCACGCTCAAGTATTGGCCAAGTTTAATGCTGCAGCCGCCAAGTAGATTGGAAATGTTATGCGTGGTACTCGAATCGTTTGATTGACTTGTCATTAAATTAACCATATCAAAGGGCAGCTTTGCTTACTATGACACATTTGGTGTTCTTTCTTTTTCACTCGTGGATGTTGTGTGTGTCTGCTTGGATTTTCCTTCTGGCGCAAAGGATACAGAAGAACAGCTTCAGCACGACAGAGCGTACATATTCCCCAACGAACGCACTATGTAGTTTTCTCTGTGGTTGGGTATCTGGTATGATACTGTAGCCACAGGGACAAAGCAAGAATAAGAGGAAGCAGTAAGGTACTTCCCTAGTCGCTTTTACATCCACGTTTGTTACAGTACTATAGCGGCGTACAGAACTCCGTAGTACAATAAATATGCTGGCGTATATAAAATCCTCGACCTCTTCACATTGTTGGTTGTTGGCACAAGAAGCCATTGAACAGGATGACTTCTTATCACTACTTTGGCAACGAAAGAGAGAGAATGCCAAGAGATGTGACAGATTTAGTTGTTCATCCTCTTGTTCGAGAGATTCCACCTTCAGCTTGTAAAATGTTCGAACGGCTGACACGAGTAAATTTCAATGGATCCGCTTTAAGGACTATTGGATATCAGGCGTTCGGTCAATGTAAGAGCTTGTTGGAAATCGAAATCCCTCCTTCCGTGACAATGGTAGGTTTTGAATCCTTTTCGCATTGCGGGTCATTAGCACAAGTTCGTTTTGCTGAAGATGGTTTATTGACTACCATCGAGAAGAATGCTTTTTTTTTATTGTTCGTCGTTGACCGAGGTCAGCTTCCCCCTTGTGTGGAGACCATACAAGAACGCGCCTTCGCTAAATGCGAATCCTTGACAAAGCTTATATTTCAGGAGGGACTGAAGTATGTTCCGTAACGTGACTGACTGGACTGCCGAGTCCCGAGCAGATGTATTAGAGCGATCGAAGGCCAACGGTCATCGCCGAATATTCAGCCCAAGATCAATCATTCATCATCTACTCACAGCTGCTTCAGACCCCCGTAAATACACCCCAATAGCAATATCAATCACCGTCTATCATGTCCAACAGTAGCTACATCAACGCACTAGTACGCTCTCTCTACGAGGAGAGCCAGGAGCACAACGTTAGCACGTTAAGTGGAAGCCAGCCCGAGATTCGAAGCCCAAACGTATTCGATTCGCAGTCAGAGCCACCAAGTTTGTTCACACGATCATCTAACACATGGGGAGGACAGTTCAACCCTGACCATTTCCAGCGCAACGCGTTCGCTATGATGTCAGCAAGTCCTGTCAATATGGAGAATGCAGCGTTCGCCGCGATGACTGCCGCGTCGCATCACAAATATGAAAAAAACAAAAAACGAAGCGATCGTGTCAACGAGAAATCGTATTGGGTCAATGGAAGCCACGTGGACGAGACCATCACCTACAACCAGTATACCATCGATACTGCCGTGTTGGCTCCAACTACTGAGTCTCCGGAAATCAAGCAAGCGATCCTACAACAGTCTGTGAACTCCATCAAGCAGACAAAGACAACAATGGAACACAAGGTGGATTTCTTGATGAAGCGCTACACATCAGTATGCCCGGACGTTCGCTCGCGAGTCAACGCCGCCACCAGCGAATTGTTCGACGTGACTAGTGACGTGTACGAATTCGCAAGCCTACACGTCATCGACAACACAGGACAAGCGATCGTAAAATTGGAGAATGTGGACCTTCCGAGAAGTCTTGAATTTTGGGCAGTTACGCCTTTGGTGGCTTACAGGAAGTGAATATGGAGGAAGGAAATAACTTGAGGAAGATTGAAACATCGCTTTGATGAATGTGTCAAATTGGAAACAATTTATATCCCTTCCACTGTTGAGCGCATTGAAAGAAGTACATTCAGATACTGCCATTCTTTGAGGGTACTGAAGTTTCAGAATGCTCTCAAATATGTGGGAGATCATGCCTTTGACTCGTGTAAGAGTCTGCGATAAGTAGCTCTACCAGAGTCGGTAGAAGGTATCGGCACCTCTGCTTTTGAAGACTGTCCCAAGTTGGTGTCAGTGGAATTGGGGGGTTGCCGTAGAACTACCATGAGGGTAAACGATTCAGCCTTTGACGGATGCAAGTCTTTAGTAAATATCTGTCTGCTCCCCACACCACCGCGCCAGGTAATACAATGAGTGCTCGCGGACGCAGAAAAAGAGGCACTTGCACGTTTGCCAGATGCAAAGCGCTTGTTACTCAATATGGAGACAGGAACATCGCGCTTGCCCTGATGCGTCGATTCGACCCATAAGAAATGTTACCATGCCTCTGGAACAAATAAAGATGATCTCTCTCGGGAGATCGAGTTGTCAATGCAATCGTCGCAAGCAGGAAGTACTATCAGCGATCGCTTGGTAGATCCTTTTGGCATGACACCCTTTCACGTTCTTCTATAAGCTGCAAACTGCAGACTCGATCTTTTGCAAGTCCTCTTAGATGCGTATCCATCGAGTTTCCTCGGATTGAAAGATGTGAATGGAAAGACTGCTGTTGATTACTTCTGTCGGCGGAGCTGTCATCTGTCTGAAGACTCTCGAAATATGCTTCACATGGCTCTTTAAGGATGGTTGGTGGGTTCTATATTGAGTTGGAACGCACTGGAAGCGTGGGAATTGGACATGTCGAATAGGGTGAATGCTATTGTTGCAGAGGATAAATTATATTAAAGACAATCATTGCTTCAGGAAGCATCAGTGGCTCTGTCGGGGTATGAGCGAATGGAAGCTACAACTCTGTTGGAGTTGTCTCTGTGGAAACTGGAATTAAAATCGGCAATTGATGTATCTGCAGACAATGCAGCCGACACGGATGGACGAGAAGCATGCCGGATTCGAAGTAGTGCCTCAGTTGTCATTCCGAATGTGACTGCATTCATTGCATTCCTTCATGAAA